ATGACGTCCGTCACGGCATCAAAGACAAACTGGATGTTGTTGGTGTCGGTGGCACAGGTGACGTGGGTGTAGATCTCCTTGTGTGCGGACTTGTTCTTGCTCTCATACTGGGCCTGGATGTAAGCCACGGCTTCCGTGAAGGCGCTGGGGCCTGCAGGAGAGACCAGGCGGGGAGCGAGTGAGGCCAGGCTCCCACAGGTGTGTCGGTCAGGCCGTGGGCAGGGAGGGGCCGCTGGGAATGGGGAGCCTGACAGCTCAGCTGAGTCAGCAGTGGGTGCTGTAGTCAAGGCAGTGGTTCACCTCCAGTTTAAACATAATGGCTCCCTGGGCCTCGCCTGTTTCCCGAATCTCCCATTATCCATCTACATATCCTGATGCAAACCTCTCGTACCGTGGGTCCTGCCCAGAGGAATCTGAACTACCCCTCAGGCAGGTGGGCCCCTGACCGGTCCGCATCCTGCAGGTCCTCTCCCCTGGGACCCCTCAGAGCAGTGATGTGCCTCGCTTAGCACTCTGGGTAAGGAGGGCCTGTGAGCCCCAAGGCCTCCTTCCTCCTCTTGTCCTCCCTTTCTCAGGCTCACTGTGGGAGGAAGACCCATCTGGCTACGGCATCGCTGACCCCTGCAGGCTGTACCAGGGTGCTCCCGGGGAGCCTGGGCAGAGGGTTTTCCATGAGAGCAACTGCTGTTTGGGGGGAGCAGAACAGGCCTCTGGCTTTGGCTTCGTGCTAGAGCCACCAGAGGCACCAGGCATCAGTGCCCCGGGGCCAAACAGGCCTGCCATGCCCGTTGAGGGAGGCCAGGAAAGGGGCTGGTATGCAGACTGGGCGCCTGGGAGCAGGCCACCTGGAGGGGGTCCCAGCCACCACCTGGGCACCAGGTCTGGCCTTGTGGGCCTCCCAGACCACAGCTCCTTCCTAAATCTGGCTGGGGTGAGAGTGGCCCTGGCACCTAGAGGTAATCCGCCAGAACTCCTCAGCCCCAAATCAGCCCCGGGGCTGACTCACCCCATCTGCTTTTGCTGCCCTATGAACCACAAGTCCAGGCCACCAAAGAGGAGTCTGAGCCCTGCCCACTCCAGGCTGCACACTTTTAGGGGGGCTGGTCTCCAGGCAGTCAGACCCTCTCACCACAGCATTGGGGGGAGTGGGCCAGTCTCAGGGTTTGTGCTGGATTCTCTGTGGTGGAATCTGTGCATCTGCAGAGCACACTCAGTGTGGACTGAGCTTTGGAGAGGGGCCTGCTCTCTCGGGATTTTTGTGTGGCCAGAAATGGCTGTCGGGCCTCCTGCTGTCTCTCGGGGGCATGGAATCTCTACCTGTGTATTCGGGAAAGCAGATGGTTAGTGGAGACTTCTTGATCTTCTCTTCAAATATGTCTTTCTTGTTAAGAAACAGGATGATGGACGTGTCTGTGAACCATTTGTTGTTGCAGATGCTGTCGAAAAGCTTCAGGGACTCATGCATGCGGTTCTGCAACAGAGGGGAGAGGCAGGTGAGGGGTAGAAGTGCGGGGCCCTAACCCATGGCAGCCAACAACACAGCGGGGCAAGCAGAGGAAGGCCCTCCGACGTGGCTGGACAGGGGGATCCACAAGGACAAAAGGGGCGTGGTCCCTGCTTCATTCCACACGCAGGCGGGGGTGGGGGGAGCAGGGAGCTAAGGGGATGCTGCCCCGGCCTGAAAAGGGCCCAGCTGGGCAGCAAGGTCACTGGGGGGCGCCAGCTGGTGGAGAGGACATGCACCATGCACGCAGGGGCAGGGCCGCACCACCATCCAACACGTCTACATGGCACCCGGGGCATGCAGATTTCTCTACTGGGGTCTCATTGGGTTTCACCAGCGGGGGTGGGAGGGTGCACGCATTCAGTTGGGAAACATTAACCGAGGACTAAGAGGTCCTCGAATTAATCCAGAGTTGGAAGCAGATACCAGGGGGACAGCGTCGGGGGGGTGATCTTGCTGTGGCCTTGGTGTGATTGAGGGTTGGGTGGTTGTCTGGGCCGTGGCTGGGTCGGGCATGAACTGCTTGTTGGGGCTGGTTTCTCAGTAAAAAGGGGTTGGGAGAATCCCAAGATGAAACACAGCAAAACAGATTAAGAGAGAGGGAGATAAAAACCAGCAGAAAACATGAGAGAAAGTGAGAAAAAAACACGAAAAATTGGTTCCACTGGTCTCAGGGCCAGGAAGTGCAGGCCAGTCCATGCCGAGGCCTGTGCGGGCCTGTGGAGACCATGGCCACCTCGGGACTCTGGGCTGCGTGGCGGCGATGGAAGATGAGTACGGGAAGGACCAACCTAAGCCAAGAGGTTGTTGTGGGGGAGAGGACGCGGGAGAGGGCCAGGGGCAGGCGTTCACAGCAAAGTCACCCGGTGGTGTCCTGAGGACCTGCTGCTTTCAACTCTTACTGGCGGTTGTAATCGGAGGGAGGTGCTTCATACCTGCCGGGCTTGGAGGGTCTCTCAGAATCTGCTCATGGTTTTGGCCTTGGTTTGGCCAGATAAGGCCCTGCAGGCGATGGTGATGGTAGTGGTGGTGGTGAAGCTGTGAAAGGCTGAGGCCCAGAGCCGCCGGAGCCACGGCCTGAGGTACGAGGACAGGCAGAGGCCCTAGGGTCCCGGGGTGCGGTGGACAAGTGGCCGTGGGTGGGCGGCCCCAGTAACACGGTGTCTGGCACGTTTTGGGCAGTTCCAGTCTTGCCCCGGGCCAGGGAGGGAAGTTTGTACTGATCAGGAGGAGAGCTGGGACCAAGGACTGCTGAGTGGGGCCTAGCTCTTGCTTCTGAATCCCACTCCTGTCCTGGAGCCAGGCCCCTGGAGGCAGCAGCCCGGCCTCAGCCATTGCTGAGTGAGAAGCCCTGAGTGCAGGCACCTAATCGCTTGGAGCCGGAGGTCCTCACAGGGCTGGTCTACTATCAGCACCTTTCACAGAGGAGGTGGGTCCCAAGAGGGCAAGTGGTCCCATGCCCACAGAGCGCCTGGCGCAGTGCTAGGCCTGGGCCAGGTCCATTGTACTCCCAAGCTTCCCAGCACTGCTGTGCTCCTGGATGCAGACATTGGCTTGGTTCTATGGCCACAGAGCCATTCTTGCTGTCACCGTGCCCATGAGCTGCCTCTGTGAGCTGTTGTCAAGTTTGAAGTCAATTCCTGTGCCCTGGAGGGGCGACTGCTCTTTCCCAGGTGGCACAGGTGATCTGCTTTGGGGTGGAAAGGCCGCCAGGTGGAGCCTGATCCTGACCCCAGGTGCTTTTGCTTCTTCCAGATACTCTGCTCCAGCCCTTGGGAAGAAGGGCAGGGGGAGCAGGGAAGAGGAGGGGAAATAGGGGAATGGGTGGAAGAGGAGGCGGCAGAAGCGCCTGGAGAGAAAGTGATACAGGACACGGGCAGCAGCAGGACTCAGGAGGAGTTGACTTCGGGGTGGAGAGGGTGGGCAGATGGGCAAGGCCTCCCAAGCAAGGGTGTGGCACTATGCCATGTCCCCCTCAGCCCCCCACCTTCACTGGAAACCAAAGACCATGGAACTTGGTGTCCTGTGGTGACAGGCCCACACAGAGGTGGGCAAGAACCCCCTGCAGGCCTGGTGGGGCAGGTCCCAGGGGACAGGCCAATACAGGGACAACAGCCCTTGGACCCCACAGCCTCCAAACCATCACACTTGCCGCACCAACCCTCATTCTTACCCCCAGGCACTTCAGGGAGGAAAGAGGACCAAGTGGCCACAAGGGTGGCCAAGCAGACCGTGAACAGTGGCTCAAAAACAATAGAGACAACCAGCGAACAGACATGCTGGGGTAGGCCCTGCAAGTGGATACATTGTCTGGGGCAGCCAGCAGCCCACCAGGGTGTGCATGGTCAGTTAGTCCGGGTCCACTGAGAATGAGGACAACTTCACCACACAGAGTTGCACTGTTGAGACCACAGGCCTCCCCCAGGTCAAGACAGGCCTTGGGGACTTTTGCTGAAGCCCAACTCAGGGCACAGAAAAGTCAAGTGAACCAGCCGGTGTGATTGAGTCCAGATCGCCCACCCAGCCAGTGACTTAGGCCTCAACTTGCGCGAGTCTCTCAGGATGGTGGCGGCGCCTCCCCACAGCACTGCACCCAGCCACGCAGGTTCACAGCAGCCCAGTGGGACCAGCAGGTGAGGACTAATGAGGAAACAGACCCAGAGTGAAGACTGGCCTTGCTTAAGGCCCACCATGATAGCAAGCCCTGCAGCCAGCACTGTTGGCTCTGCGAGCTGCCAGAACATGCCTCTGAGACCTGGTGGGAGCATCACACAGACACCTGGCTTTTCTTTGCAGGCTCCGAAGATGGATAGGCCCACAGCCCCTTGGACGGACGGGGACTGTTCAGCAGACCCCCCAGCTCAGGACAACCACCATTGACAACACACCTACTGCCTCGGCGCTGCTGTGCCACTAACAGCTCCACGTACTTTGCACAGATCCCATCCCCAGCGCCCAGACATGATCCCCTTTGACAAATGAGGCACAGAGGGTACGGTCTGAATTCAGCTGCAAACCGAGCCCAGGCCCACAGAAAGGCAGCACCCTCTCCAGGTGAGCGCCCCCTCAGAAGCCAGGAGGCCCCAAACTGAGCGACGCAGCAGCAATGGGTGGTGGGAGCCCAGCCATCCGACGCAACACCAGCAGCCCCACCGGGCCGCCACCAGCCCCACACCAGCCTGTGCCGCGGTAGGGCGGTCAGCGCCGAGCGCAGCACGGCTCTTTCTGGCTTACACACATTCCCGCTGGACTGAAAACTGATTTCTTTAAGGATCTCCCTTATTTTGTCCTGGCCCCACGGCCTCTGACCCCTCTGTGCCCATGAAGAGGCACTCACTGCCCCAGACCCCAGGTCCGCAGAGATGCTCGTGCTGAGTCTGCACATGGACTCTGGGCTGGTGGCCCGGGGCTGCCTTTGTCCAGCAAAGGAGTCAGAAGAGCAAAGGGGCACAGCCCACCAAACAGCCCCCCAGGCCGGGCGGGCGGAGTCACTCACCGTGGTCTCGTCTTCGTGGAGCACCTGGTCATAGCCGCTGAGCGCGACACAGAAGATGATGGCCGTGACGTCCTCGAAGCAGTGGATCCACTTCTTGCGTTCAGATCGTTGGCCCCCAACGTCGAACAGCCTGTGGGGTGACAGGGAGGCTGGAAGTGGTGGGGCCCGGGCGGGAGCGGGTGCCTGGGCAAGCCGAATGGGCGGAGGAGCTCTGCACGCACTCGGCCTCCTGGCAGCCCCGCTCTAGGAGCCGACACTGACCGCTGCCGCCCTCGGGTGGGGGCTGCCATCTCAGCTGTGTGCTCAGACGTGGTCACTCAGAGACCTGTCCTTGCATCTCGAGAGCTTTACTAGGGCGTGTCCCTCAGCTGGCCCCCAGGAAGTGCCTTTGTGAGGTCCTCTCGGGGGCATGCACAACCTGTTCCTGGCTTTCTGACATGTCGCTCATGTCTGTGGTCTGGACAAGCTCCAAACCAGTTTGAGGGGCAGGAGCTGTCACCTGTAACGTGGACAGGAGAAGTGAGCCACCAGGGGTAGGTGCCCAAGGTAGAGCTGGGAGGACCCAGGTCTTGGACCGGCGCTCTTACCTCTGCTCTGTGCCACCCCTCCCCAGCACACGGAAGCCTGCCTCTCCCTGCCAGACACCATCCCCTGGGGCTTCAGGGTTGTGGGAAGAGACTGTGAACAGGAAGGTTACATCCTGGAAGTAAGAGGTGGGTCTCACACCCGAAGCCCTGAGCGACGAGCTCCTCAGCTTCCTGGGCTTGTGATGCCCGTGGGGCTGACCCCAGGAGACACCGGGACCCCCAGAACCTCCAGGCAGAGACTTTCCTGAAGGCCAACTCAGGGTGCAGAAAGGCCCAAGTGGGCCAGCGGTGTGGGGTGCGAGGCTGGATCACCCACCCAGCCTGTGGCTTCAGCCCCAATTTCTCAGCCCTTTAACTGTGTGAAGTGAGTCCCTCAGGAGGGCGGTGGCGCCTCCCCATAGCTCTGCACCCTAGAGTCACATCTGCAGCCCTACAGGCAGAGACCACAGCGAGCGTGGAGCAAGTGAGTGGTTCTGGCTCTCATTCTACCTCCTGCCCCGGCTCCCATTCCACATTGGCAATACAGAGGTTGGCTATTGGCTTCCATGGCCCCTCCAGAGCGCTTATTCAGCTCCACCTGTTGGGCAGCTAAGGGCCCCACCCCATGCTCCCAGGGGTGAGTGGAGAGGCTGAGAAGGGAGGTGAGCAATATGTTGTAGGGTCACTGGACCCCCCTACCTTGCTCCCCAGGTTCAGGGAGGCCCAGGGACTCCTCAGCCTGGCATGGCTCCCATGGTCCCACGGACGGGCTGCCAACTGAACCCAGAGTCTGGAGACAGGCCCTCGCCCCTCATTTAGTTCAGGAGTGGGCAGGAGCTGGGAGGTGTGGCAGGGACCCAGACAGGGCCATATACCTGTTGACCAGCCAGTAGTCCCTGCCTGCCTGTCCTTTCCTCCTGCTTCACCTGACTCCCACAAATCATACCTGGAATGCAGCTAGGGGTGGGCTCCCGGGCCTCTGTGCATAAAGATTACCCCAGAAGGGGACACAGTCGTCCACCAGGCCCAGGAAATCTCTGCTTGGGGATAGCCATGTTCCTCATGGCCTCAGTTTCTCCATATGTGTCAAGACAGAGGGCGGGTGAGCCATTCCCTAAGCTCCTTGAAGCTCTAAGCCCTTGGGGTTTCACAGATACTGCTTAGGCTTATCCCCTCACACCTCACTGCTCCCCACAAGGTGGCCTCCTAGGAGTCACCTGGGTGAGCCTCCCTCCTCCGCAGAAGTCACCAGGGACAGGATTCCCTCCTTTGTCCATTAAAACCCCCATTCTTCAGAGCCCCACTCCAGAACCCCTCTTCCAGGAAGCCCCCTGCTGCTGAACTTGGCAGGAAGCAGGCAGTGGCGGAAGCCCCTGAGGCAGGGCTGCATGTGGCTGCTCTGGATGGCTGTGGGGAGAGACTGGCACCTCCCACTTCAGCCTCCTCCTTGGGGAGGGGACCCTCCCTGGGCCTCACCTGAAGTGGAGGTTCTTGAATGTGAAGTGGGTTTCTACGATGCCGGTGGTTTTGACCCTGGTTCGGAGGATGTCCTGCTCGGTGGGCTGGTAGTCAGCGGCCCCGATCCGATCCAGGCTGTCCAGGTAGCTGGGGATGGCAACACATGGGACCATGGACCAAGCACTGGGCACTGCTCAGGCCTGCCACCCTCTTCAGAGCCCAGATCCCACCAGGGCTGACACTGGAAAACAGATCACCTCTTGGGCCAGGAGCTGGGGGCTGGGATGGACTCAGCTTTAACTCTGAACAAGATGGTACCCCACCTGAGGTGTTGGTTCTGTGGCTGTAAGGCGAGCAGGTGTGTGTGTGTGTGGGGGGGGTGCACAGGGGACCTGTTGGGAGGCTATCACATCTTCCAGGTGAGAGATGACAGCAGGGGTGAGAAGTGGGATGTGAGAGGAAGAGGCACAGAAAGCTGCCTCCCAGGTGGGACAAGAGGCTGTACTTGGTAGAAGGAAGGGGGGAGGCCAAGCGGATCGGGGGGCTAGGAGTTCAGTTGGCTGAACATATTCAGCTGATGTGTTGGGATGTCCGCATGGACACCAAGGAGACAGAACTCTGGAGGGAAGGCTGTGCTGGCAATACATGCGTGAGAGTGGTCGGGGTGTGATGGATTAAAGCCCTGGGGAGGAGGAGAAGCCAGGGGACAGGAAGAAGCTGGGGACTGAGCCAGGTGCCCAGAAGGCAGCAGTGAGAGTCTGAGAAAGGGGACATGGGAGAGGCTGAGGCCCAGGAGCCATGAGACTGAGTGTGGCTGGGTGTCCCTGCTGTGTCCCTGCTGTGAGCGCCTTGGAGGTACTGGAAGGAGCAACAGAAGCCTGTATCTAGTGGGGAGCTGCAAAGGGAAACTCTTTTGCTGCCCCTGGTGGAATGTGCTGAGGCTTCTGAGACCTGTCTCAGGGGAGAACCTTCCAGGATCCCAGGCCCTGCTGGCTATACCAGGAGTCCAGGAGCCCGCCAGCTGCAGGCACCTCCCTCTCCCTTCCAAGCCCTGGTGCTGTCACATGGGGAGTGACTACCCTGGCCCCCAGGGGCTGGGCCAGGCAGCCAGCAATCAGCCTAGGATTATTAGGCCTCCCTCTCCCTTCTCATGCCAATTTTTACTCTTTTCTATATTGGACCAAGCTTTGGTCAGGAGATGAGATTTAGCTGCTAAAACGACAAAGCAACTCTGGCAGAGAAAGCTGTTCAGCCCTTCTGCAGCTGCGTGCCTGTGGGTGCCTTCCCCTCCCTGCCCAGACTCTGTTCAGGAGACCTAACCACGGTGACAGACAGGATGCAACCTTGGCAGTGGAAAATTTGTAAGGAGGCAGGGATGAGATGGACGGAGGGAGGGAAGGAGGGAGGGAGGGAGGGAGGGAGAGAGAAAAGAGAGAGCAAGAGAAGGCAGGCACATTTCCTCAGCTTACTTGTTGGGGAGTTGACTCAAGTTTCTTATTTAAAGTTATAAAGGTAACCACCGGAAGAACTAAAAATAATCCTGTAACTAGCAAAAAAGTGGAGGTGGAAGTGGGAAAGAGTTGGAAAGGTAAGCTCAGTTCCTCAGATTTCACAGTGGGAGGTCAGTAGTAGCATTTAAGACCAGAGGGTCAGGTTTTTCTGGATGTCACTGGGACAAATAAATGGAAACGGGTAAATGTGGGAGGGGTGTCATGTAATTTTATACTTCTCTGTGTTGTGACTTTTATTTGTTTTGTAGTGAATGCATGTTATAATTAGCTAAATGGGTAAAAACTTAAGCAGCCAGCAGGGTTTGACAAGCTGCTAGGGCCAGCTGGCCCAACCTGGGGGGAGGAGATTTGGGGAGGGGGGCGGCCCAGTAGCAGGTGGGGAGGGAGAAGACCTTGTGGAGGCACCGGGTGCTCCAGGAGCCATGGGTGGAAGCTCTGGCCCACACCCCTGCCCACCAAGTCTCCCTGGGGCTCATCAGGGCTGGTCATAGGACCTGAGCACTGGGCCAGAGTGAGGGCACAGAAACAATCCCTGCTGTGTTCGCTGAGAGCACACGGATGGCCCAGCATCCACGCATGGATGCTCTTTCCTCGGCCCAACCGCTGTTACTTTAGCATCGTGTAGACCAGGGTTTCTCAGGCTTCTTCACTGTGGGGCTGCCCTGTGCACTGGAGGATGTTGAGTAGCATCCCTGGCCTCTACCCTCTGGATGCCAGTAGGACCACCCTCATCAGAACCATCAGAAACACCTCCAGACATTGCAAATACCTCCTGGGGACAAGATGGTCCTGGCTGAGGAGCACTGTCTGGGCTGAGGAGCACTGTTTGCTCAGGTTGCTGTGGGGTCAGAGCACACACATCCTAAGACAGTGGGTTTGAGCCCAGAAGCTTAAACCCACACAAGAATGGGCACAAGAATGCAAAAGTGGGGTGCATTTCCCGAAAGCTAGGTGCAACCCCAGTGGCTCCAATGTGCAATGTGGGCCATGCCAGGCACTGGGGGCTCGCATCTAGGGGCTGAGGAGGCCTTTGCAACGCCAAGCACGACAAAGCATAGGGGCAGACTGTGGCCCTGAGCCACGGGGCCCTTCCTGGCCTGTCACCCCTCTCTGGCTCTCAGGGGTTGCTGCCCACTGCTGCAGGCCCGCCCCTCCCCCTCTCCTCCCTCCTTTCCATCCCCTGATTTAGTGGTAACAAAAGATTAAAGTATGTCGGAAGGGGCCTCCCCGGTGGCGCAGCGGTTGAGCGCTGGGTTGCGAAGCTGCCCGCAGCCACTGCAGCACCGGTTTGATCCCCGGCTGCTCCCCGGCCACCAGAGGAGGCTCCCACATGGCGCGCAGACCTCTCCTGCCGCCCACTGCTCCCCTCAGCAGTGTGTTTCGTCAGTCTGTCTGTTCTGCTCCCTGCTCTGGCTCTGGTGAATTCTCTCACCCTCCCGCACTTCTGACTGTACCCAGTGCTTGTATAAATAAATAAATAAATATTTAAAAAAAAAAAAGTATGTTGGAGGTATTTATTGGGTGATTACACAGTCCCTATTTTTAATTTTAAAGGGAGAGGAATGGAAAGCTCATTATTTTTCTCTGAAATAAAAACAAAATGGCACCATGTCAGTTATTTTCTGCCAATAAGATTTGTATTTATGGGGTTAGGGTTCTCTGGGGAGGAAGGTGCCACAGTGAAAACATCCTGGAGCGCCAGGCCCTCCCCAGAGCAAGTGGGAGTGTGGGCCTCTGGGAGCCCTGCTGTGGGCTGTCTCCTGTGTCCCTGCCTCCTGGCGCCCTCCTGGTCCTTCCTGACACTGGCACAGTCTGTTTTCATGTTACCGCCCAGCTCTTGGGTCCCTTCTGCCTGGGACACTCACTATTTGGCAGAATCGTTGAGCTGATACTCCCGAGACCGGTTGAAGCATTCCTGGATCCCTGAGTCACCCCAGAGTCGCATCATGGCTGAAAGCAGTTCTGCAGAGAAGGGCTCCGTGTCTTCCATCCGACTCACCACGTCACACACCATCTTGGCGTCTGCCTGTGAGGAGAGAGGGATGGTGGCTTTGAGGCCTCGATGGAGACAGGAGCCTGACTGGGGTAGTGGGCTGGGCTGGGGCCCATGTTAAAGCACCTGCCAGGGCCCCGGGACAACAACATCTGAGGCCCCAGCCTGGACAGGAGAAAAGGCCACGATCTCCACTCCCTGTGCCTCTGGACACCCCCATGCCCCCCTCCCCCCAACCCATGGAGTTCCAGGGCTTTCTGCGTGAGGAGGGGAGAGCAGGTAGGAGCCTGTTCTCCACCTGCCCACTCAATCTGGGTTTCACATAGTATTTGGGGGGTAACAGAATAAAATCCAAGTTCTTGGCAAAAGTTGTGATTTCCTATATTTCATACCCAAGGTGGAATCAAGACCCTGGAACTGGGCTAGATCAAGGAGCAGAACATTTGGGTGAGATTTCCAACCCAGAGGGGCTGGGCCAGAGCAGAGCCTTCCCTTAGGGGTGTGGAGTAGAGAGGCCTGTTCTCAGAGCCTGTTGTGAAAAAGCCTCACGGCAGCTTTTAATTTCAAGAGGTTAGGCCCTTGAATGGCCCAAAGTTAAAACTGAATTTTATTAATTGTAGTTACTTCTTCAATCTTGACCTGGGGGCCTGCCTTTTCCTGGGGGCAGAGGAGGCCTGGACAGAGTTAAACAGAGGAAGGATAAAGCAGTGAATAGCGGGACCCCTCTCCCAGCCCTACTTGGCTGGCATAAAGAGCACATTCTTCCTCTGGCTCTCCCACCTTCCTCCCATGCCTAAGGGAGTATAGCTGAATTTGCTTCAGGCACACACAAGTGCTACCAAAGAGGGTCACCTGTCTTCACAGACTACAATCAAATATGTGTCACACTGAAACCAGGAAAGCTCTTGGCACATCACAGGGCCTCACCACCACCAGGGCCTTGCACATGCATGGGGCACTGCACAGTCTGCAAAGGATATTCCTTGGTGCACACACCATTTCCTCACATTTCACAACTACCTCACAAGGGAGCTGTGGGTGATGGCATTAATGGGCCAGGTTCTTTATCCCCGCTGTGTCATCCTTTGCCCTGTATCTTTCCAGTTTCTTCGAGTGGCAGAAAATATTTCCTCACTCCTTGACTGGGTGTGGTTTGCCCCGGCCCAGAGGTTGGGGAGTTCTACAGCCCGTCTGAGGGGCCTGAGTGTCGAGTTTGTCCACTTGCACTTCAGCCATTGCTGCACATGTCCCCAGGCTCTGCCCTCAACCGAGGAAGGAGAGGGGCTGTGGGGAGCTGTCTCCCAGCCTCTGTGATCCCCAGCTGAACCCCTGAGGCTGCATTAAGGGCCCTGCTCAGGCCACTCTTCTCACCCCTGCAGTCTCCCAGCAGGCCCTGAAGAATGCCCCTGCCTTGGTCGGGGCCTCGGTCTGCCTCGTTTAGCACAAGCTGCAGCTGCTGGCACCCCAGCTACAGTGAAGGAGAGGTGGTGGGAGGTAGGCCTAGCTGTGGGGTGGCGGTGGGAGTGCCAAATACCAAATGCCAAATCTAGGAGTCCACAGCCCCGCCGGGTGCAGGCCAGCATCCAGTCCAGAACAGGGGCCTAGGAAGGTGGGTGTGGGAAGCAAGAAAAGGAAGGGGCTGAGGCATCTAGTGGGCATGTGACTGGGCCAGGCCAACTGTGGTCTTTCCTGGAATTTTTCTGTGGGGAAAGCTGAATGGACTGTGGCCCCAGAGTCAATGTGTCACCAAGCCCGCATCCTGCCCATGGAGAAGCCCCTAAGAATGAAGCCATTAGAAAGACACAGGGAAACATGGAGGCATTCAAGCCCTTTGCCCTCTATGTGACCCATCCTCTGGCACACATGAGGTCCCACACAAGACAGCCTGGGAGGCAGATCTGGGAGCAGGATGGGTGCAGGTTAGAAAGGACCCCAGTGGATCTGCCTGGGATGGGCAGTTGGTGCCAGTATCTCTGGGACCCCTCCTCTGGGGTCTTTCATTTCCCTGGTGGGGAGGTTTCGATCTGCATGGCTGAGCCCCCCTGGGGTGTCTGAACTCCTGATTGGGGCTGGGAACAGGATGCCCCAGGCCACCATCTCCTTGACCTCACTGGCCCTCCAGACTCAGAGGATTACTCCACTCTCAAGCTCTTTCAACCCTCCAGTCCTCCTACTGAGCAAGGGGAGGGACAGACTGCCTGGCCCAGGAAGTGAGCAGGTGGGCTGGGAATCTGCAGGTGTCCTTTGGGGCGGGAGAGACACAAAGGAAATGAGGCTAGCACCTGGAAGATTCATGGCTGACAAAAGATTCTGTATAAGAGGTATGTGGGGCCAAAGCCTCCCGTGGAGATTTTCCCAGAATCGAGCTGTCCAGCTAGGTAGCTATTTACATATCAGAGCCTCCAGTGCAGAAGGTAGATGGGAAAGTTCTGGCTGCTGTGTCCCCTCCCCTCTGCCTGCCCTGGGAAGGAAGCTACAATACCAGCGCAGGCCCAGGCCCCCAGGGACAGAGCCCCAAAGACCTCAGCACTCAATTCCTGAGTCACTTTTGGCTGACACAGAGGGCTGTCCACCGAGAGCAGGGCCCCCAGATTCTGGGTTCAAGGGCTGAGTTTCTTTAGCATTTTTTTCCTGCCTCCTGTCCCGCAGAAGCGACCTGGAAGCTGACCGTGGGCCTGGGCGCTGGGTGCCCCAGGCAGGCAGTGACTCAGGGAGGCAGGGGTGTGTGAGCAGGGGTGGTGCCTCCACCTGGGGCTAAAAACAGGCCTATGAGTCAGGGGCCCACATGCTGATGCTGTTCTGCCTGGGTGCCTAGGTGACCTGGTGAGCTCTGTCCTTTCCCCATCTGTGGAAAGCGACTAGTGAACCTGCCCAGACTTCTCCAAACTTTCTGCATGAGAGGTGGCCATGACCAGCTTCCAGTTACAGCCAAGGAGGGCTGCCCCTTCTGTGCTCAAGCCTTCTATGCAGGATGGCTGTCCTCTCTGCCTACGTGGCTTCCACCCCCTTCTTTCTTGGCACCAGGGCCCAGTGTCCCTGGAGGAAAGCACTCTTCCCTGATTGGTCTGAGCAGTTTGGGTGGGGCTGTCTCTGTCCCGTTGTCCCAGTGTTGGAAACAGTCTGGGTCTGCCAATTCAGTCTACTGGCCTCACTGAATAGTCAGGGGTGGTTAAGAAAATCTGTATTTGTCAAATTAGACTAACAGCCAGTTTACTGCCCCAAACGCCAACAATTGCCCCAGACAATTGTAGGTTCTCTTCAAAGAGAGGCAAACAGAGGGTCCACCTGAGTGCAAAGCCATCACTGAGGAAAGCAGAGATGAGAGGGGAGCTACCCCTAGTCATGTGATACATCAACACCTGGATCCAGCCAAACCTGAAGCCACTCACTCATCTGGCTCACCTGTTACTGAAGTCAATCAACTCCCTGATTCTTCCTTGATCCAGCTGAGGATATGTTTTTGGTTAATTTGTTTATTTTGTACTTGCAAGCCAAATAACTCTCACTGTCATACTTCCTGCTCTGCCAAGGCCAATATGAGACCCACCAAGAAGGAAGACCCAGGAAGACCCTCCCGGAGTTCCTTAGGCATCTGACTTGACACACTGCCCACATGCTTCACTGTCTTCTGTCCGTGGCCCTAGATATGTGTGGCACTGGCCACATCCCAGACACTACTTTGGTAGCTGTCTGTCGGCAGTTCTGCGAGGAGTTGATTTGGGCTGTTCACTGACAGGTTTGGCAGGACCCTTGACAGCTGAGGGTACAGGACATTCATCATTGTGTGGTGCTATCATATATCATATAGTGGCTGCCTGGCCCCAGCCACTCAATGCCTGAAGCACCCCAAATTGCACCGCTAACAAAAACAACACACAACTGTCTAAAATGCCTGTGGGATAGCACGACTGCCTGAGAGTCACAATTGGGAGTCACCTCCCTGCCAGAGCCAGGAAAGCAAGCGCTTGTCAGAGGGGTGAGCGAGTGGGCCACCATTGCCCACTTGCTGTTCTTAGGCCCAGCTCCAGAGGAACAGGCATGGCACTCCCCTGTGTGAGAGAGCACAAGAACATGACTACTGCCTTCCTGCAGATGTGCAGACTGGGAGGGAGTGTCTGCCAGTTCCTAGTGCCCAGAGGTGCTCTCCCTGCCAGGCTCTGCCTGCTGGAACTGCCCACGCTTTAATGTCCAGTTCCCAAACCACCATCCTCTAGTCACTTCCTCCGTCAGATTTCCCAGTCCCACCCCATGCAGCCTCCTGGAGGCTCAGCCTCTGGCCTCCCAGCCTGAGCAGGGCCTTAGTCTTTGAGATTCAGTGTCCTCATTTGAGAAATGGGAATCACTTCCCTCACGGGGCTGTTGTGTGAGCAAACAGAGCCCACCTGGCGCAGGGATGGACTGAGTGGGGTGAAGGGCCACTGGTCCTCCCCGCAGCAGCCTCAGTGGGGCACACAGAGATGAAGAGGCTGATCTACCTATCCTTGTGGTTTCGGAGTCAGGGGAAGGGGTGGGGTATCCCCGGGCCTGGCCGGGCTGTGCTTCTGAATATGAACCGCACGCAGCAGGCCATTTTAACGGGTTGAGGGCCCAGATGCTCTGTCAGGGGGTGTTGTAGGGTAAGGTAAAAGGATCAGGCTTTTCTGCCCTCCCGCCATTAGGATAGATGAGGGAACCCTGTGGTCCTGAATGCATGCCTGATGGCGGGCTCCTGGAGTAGGGTGTGGGCGTATGTAGATGGGATTCACCTGGGCTAAGACTGGGCTTTTAAGGGCGGTGTCAAGGGGACGCCAGCAGAAGCAGAGTAGCAGAAGCAGAACCATAAGAGAGCACCAGAGAGCCCAGAAAAAGTGAAGACTTGCTGGGGGCTGGGAGGCCTGCCAGCCTCCCGGCCCCTCCAGCATCCCTACCTGCCATGTACCCGATAATTCCCAATAAAAGCCTGCAAAAGCCACTGAGGCCTCCAGGACTCTCTCCTCCTTTATCCGGTCTGCAAAGAATCTTAGAGAACCTGCTCAGAGCTCATTCCTGCCCCT